CCGGACATTTACCGCTCGGGCTACGAAAGCTGGACCTCTTTATCGAAATTCTGACGCGCGATTACCGAGAGTCCCGCGAATCACGCTGGTGAAAGACGCTGCGCACGGAAAAACTTGGGCAAGGTTGATGGGCTTGCCTGATCGTTTACGTGTAACCGGCCTGGTGTTGGTTGATTCGCAGGATCAGACCGAGTCGGCGGCCATCCTGAAGATCAAGGAGAGCATGCAGGAGGAGGCGAAGAGGTTTGAGAAGGACTCAGACCATCCCGATTATTTCATACAATAACTCTTCACGAGTCGTTGGACCCCGAGACCAAATTAACAATATAAGAGATAAACACAACCGATTTCCTTTCTTCCTTTAGTCCGAGAAGTATCTCCATCCTCTCCTCCCTTCACCCTTCCCCCCGTCTTCTCCTCGTCCCTTCGCCGTGGAAACCACTCTCCTGCCTCGTACGTTTCCTATTCATCCCTTTCTCGGATGAAACCTTTGCTGCACCTCACCACGTATAAGATCTTCCTCTCCTCTCTACTTTCCGAGCCGTCGAACGGCGTAGATCGATCTCCGTGAGGAAGGGCGCAAGATGGGTCTCTTGCGCGCATTGGTGATCCATCCTTTTTGTCGCGCGCTGCTACAAGGAGGACCACGATGTCAGGACGGGAGAAACCTTCGAGACAGAGACAGAGAGAAAGAGAGCATCGATTTCGCGCGACTCTCACGCGTCGACCGACGTTCTCGCACAGCGATGTTGTACAGTATCGAACATTGATAATGTTGTTATCCTTGAAGTGGGTACGTCATTCTGAGCGAACGAGTAATGCGATCGAGCTTACTTAAAATTTCACGCAACGTGCGGAAACTTTCAGTCGAAACAAACGCGTATCGGATAATCGAGTAACTATCGTTTTCTTTTTTATCTGCATTCCCTATATGCGAAGTTAAATATTTCTCGAACTTCAGCTGATTAAAACTCGCATTTACTGTACGTTTGTTACTCGTTCGCTTAACATACGTTCACTCTTAGGACACAACCGCGAACGTTGTTCCAGTATCTTACTTAGTACATGACGAAGAGAGAGAGAGAGAGAGAGAGAGAGAGAGAGAGAGAGAGAGTGCGTGTGTGTGATAGTATTATATTAGTGTAAACGTTAAACTTGTGAAATTTTTACGATCAGGATTACGATCGTTTCCAGGATAAGTCCGCGAAATTTTCTAAATGATCTCGATCGCAATTCATTCGTTCTGTACAACAATCTCCATTGAGATCTTTGTTCGTACAGCCAAGTTCGTACAATCGAGGATTGGTCGTCCAAGTTAATTATGATTAACTCTTCGTCTGTAGCTTTATTCGATTATGATTTGGGAAGAGTCGAACTAGCCTGATCATAGCCAATAAAACTGAAAAATATATCGTTAATTGAAACCTAGTTCGAATCAGACCGTTGATTATCGTCATAGAGCCCAAGGATAAGATCGATCGCGTGTGACGTGGACCACGAGGAGGATTAATCGGCCGAAAAAGAAAAAGAAAGAAAAAGAGAAATGAAGAACATTTCGTTATATAGCCATGGATACGTAAAGTCGCCAGTAGTAGCGCAGTAAGATGTTTACAAGCACAAGGATGAAAGTTGCGTCGCCCGAACGTGGGAGATCTTTGGTATTCCGTCACGATCGAGGACCAAATTTACTTCTGCTGTACGATAAATATGCGATTACATCATCATGAACCAAAGCAAGCTTACGATGGAAAGGAGGAATGCTTAATTTACATATGACCGGTTACAAAGTATTTTCCTAGGACTTGTACTTTTCCGCGGTTACGTTCTGTGATGATCATTTACGATCATTTTCATATCGCACGGTTTAGTATGTAACTTTGTGTTTATAAAACGAACTTGAGTATTCGAAGTTGTCTTACGAATTCTCCTACTGAAAAAAGATTAACTATAATTAATTATGATATGTAAGATATATGTTTCAATTTCAATTTAGTTTAATCTTTATTTTCACCGATCGTAAAAGATAGTGAAATGATAATGTAGATATCATAATGTTTTCATAATTATGTTGAATAGATATTTTTTATTTTTGACTGGAAGTGGCACTTCTCTTAGTTGATTTATTTATATAACGGTCTTGTTTCTAACTTATTATTAAATATTACATTATAATTATTTTATAATTATAATATAATATTTATATAATATAATATTATAAAAAGTATATTATGATATTCTTCTACAAGTAGTGCAATTCGATTTGTTTGAGCGCAATTCTCGCATATGATATTGTATAATTTATATTGAATAATATGGATGCATATATAGATGATGTTTTTGGATCTTACAGATACCAAATATTTACGATTTGCGAGAAACATGTCTATCTAAATTAATGAAAATATTTGTTCTAAAAAAATAATTGCGTCTGAGCGATTGTGCTTTGTGGCCGGTAATGAATGATTGTTAGGACGTTCATTGTAACAAATTTAATAGACAATGATTGGATGCGCGACGTTTTTATATAATTCCAATTTGTACGTGAGAATGATATGCCATACATGAGAGAAATTTTTTTTTAGATTTATATACGATGCGTTTTCTACTTAAATGTAACATACTCGTTTTACTACGATAATGTTCTATTGATTCAAATATCTGTAGCATTGAAAAGATCATCGGTCGGATTTCACTGCTGTATCATCGATTGTATACATTTGTTAAGTATCGTTTCAAACGCATCGTTCTTTTCATAAAATCAAAACGCACCCAGTATATCTTTGATAATTTACAAATTAATTTAGCACGCAGATTATTATTTCTTCTTAATTTCGGAGAAGATAAGAGAAAAAATGGTAATCTCGATCGCTCTCTCTCTAGCGTTGAATTCAGGATATCTTACATGGTATTTTGTATAAAGAATAAAATATGTGAGTTCCATAAGAAGATTTTCTGCGGATCTTCTCTCTGGCCGCTTCATTCATTTAGTCTGTTCTTTCTGGATGCACCTTCTACGCTTTTCCTCTTCCTTTTTTCTCTTTCCAAAGCGTAAACATATAGTTGCTTCGTTTTAAGTGTAGAAAGCGTGAAAAGAGTTGCAGCTGACAAGAACAGATCTAAATGATCAATCGAAATGTATCGCGACGGAGAAGGATATTAGTAATTTTATTGTGAAGTTACTTTGATCCAATCGGATAAGATGATGGCAATGGATCATCGCAATCCCTAGATGGGAGCTGCGCCTTATGTTACATACGTCCTTGTATATGTATATTGTTAAGTTCTTAAATGTATGTATTCGGACTCGATCATTATTTCGACTCCTTTGCATTCCTTATTTAAGAATATATTTCGGCAGTGATATTTGCGAGCGGTGGTTGTAAAAAAAAGAAAGAGAAGAGATAAACAAAAGAATTTATCCCGAAGGAAAAGCGCGTCTAACTCCTTCACAAGCAAGAGTGAGTTATCAAGTCACGAACAGACGTGACATGGAAGTTCCTCTTTTGCGACGGTCTTCTCTTACGATCGAATGAAAATTAGGAAGCTGATAGTAAGAGAGAGTTGAAGGCCGAAGTTCGAGATAGTGATCGAGTCCCCGTTTATTAGTTTACGTATTCGCGATCGAGAGGGACCGATCCGATATCGATCGCGATCGAAGGGCATGAAGAGAGAAAAAAAGAGAGAAACTTAGGTATTATAAATCGAGTCGCGCGCACACATAGTTCTTCGCGGATCAGCCGGAGAAATCGGAGCGGGTAGGAGCTTGATCGCGCATGGTCGACGATTCGTCGAGAGGGGCGACTTCTTCGACGATGGCGCGCCCGCATATTCGGAGCGGCATCCATCCTCCCAACCACCCCTCGCGTCCGGCCTCCTCTTCTCCCCTTGTAATTAATTTACACACGCGTAATCATTATAACATACGCGTTCACACATGGGCTGTAAAACTCGCGCGGCAAACCTCACGCATTCTACGGATTCACGCATGATCTATCGATATAATTATAGAAATACCTATTGCGAATATAGCATTCAGTAGCATAAATAATAAAGTAATTAAATAAATGTCATCTGTATATCCTACCAAGCCTTGTGTTTTGCGTGCTCCCAATCTTGCGTGACGACGGATAATTAATTCTAATGACGAGTTGTTGGAAGATCTTGATACGAAGATAAGCCACTCTTTGAAGATTTACAGGTAAGTGAAATTTGTGTTATGCAGCTACATAACAAAAATATTAAAGTATAAATTCTATAAAAAATGTATTCTTTTTTACATTCTATTGCAAAAATGAGATCTAACATTGTATTTTTCATTAAAAAATCTTCATTTAAAAAAAAATTATATTTAAACTGCTAACTAACTGTGTGTAATTTACAATATTAAAATAAATATAAAATTACAATAAATATAATTACATTTATTATATGTCTAAAACTACTTCAGTTGAATATATTATAATTATTCGTATAATGCCGGTATTATTCTCAACAGCAAAAACTTCAATAACTTTTACCATAGTATTTTATTCGCGTTTTGGACTCGTATGATCTAGAAAGCGAAACACTCACCAAAGTTTATTGCAATTTATGCAGTTATTTTCTATTGCTGAAACATTATCATGAGTAATAGTTTGAGAACTGTTTAGTGCGATTACAGACGCTTATTGTACTCTCCAACGTATTTAATACAAATGTATTAGAACGTACAGTATTTCTTAAAAGATCGGCTGTCAAATGCTGTCCACTAATACTTTACAATTAATACTTACGTTATATTTATACGAAACCTATACTTATTGTAAGTGCCTGTCATCCATGATGGAAACTCGCGTGATCGCCATGTAGCCCTACTCCCCTGAAAGGGAAAGGATGAGTATGGAGTGGTGTATCTGAAATATTAATTTATTTATAACCGATACTTATTGCGAGAATGAAAACACTTTCCAAGAAAAGCTTCCTCGAGAAATTCAGACAACACTGTGGTGCCAAGAAGACAGTTTCTTTATGAAGTATGGAACCCAGCAGGGAACATTATTACGATATCAGTAAAAGGTATCTGACATTAATCGGTCAGTGGCCTTATCAAAAATCGAAAGAGAGTTTGCTTTTCTTGATCCTTATTCTTGATGCCAGTGTTCTCGTTACACAGGTAACGTCGTTGGATTTTTTTTTTTTTAGAAAATAGAGATTTCGCAAACACAATCAGATAATTTGTTTGTAATTAAACTTATACGTGAATGCAACCACATTTTTCAGGCGGCAAGATTTTTCGTATGCGATGACATCCATTGTATCTTTGAAACTGTACCTCCACACTTGCTGGCAACGATTATTCCAGTGAAAATTTTCACGTTTCAATTTAATAGCCAGAAAGTACGTTTTATTATTACGTTCGATATTCTAATCTTGAGTTAATCTATAATTTCAATTCAGTTTCTTTGTTAAATCTTAGACTTTGTTGATGTTGTAACTATTGAAGATGTCGAATATATCGGTGATGTTTCTAGATTAAAGATCTCACAGATCGCTTATCTATAGATTGGGATATACTCGAGTCTAAAACAGAACGCGATATTATGAGAAGATATGCCGAAAATGGCAGATGGTACGTGTTAATATACAGCTGTGAGTAATTTCTTGATTTTAGACTAAAGAAATTTATTATTTGTTACAAGATAATAAATACTAGTTAGTGGATTGTTAGTAACATGACCCAATTATTGGACGAAATGACAAAATTTTAGATATTAAACTTTTAATGATACGTAAGTAAATTTGTTGTTATACAAATTTAATAAGACGAATTTATTTAGAGTCATACCAATGTATATCCAGCGAAAAGTGATGTTGCAGTTACAGCGAAAATTATCTAAGTACGAAAAATAGCTGGAATAGATAATAAAGAGCCACCGCAAAATTAAGTATTTTTTCACCCGTTTTCTGAACCTCTAATTTTGAAGCAAATTTTGTGTCAAATGATGAGATAATAATCGCATAAAATTTTTAAGTTGAGCATATGATTGGTTTTCTAGATTATTTTGAATTTCGCAATATCGGTTAGCCATATTGGATTCGCCATTTCGAATTTTGGAATTCAGATTTTAGATTCGTAACTAGCGACCCAAAAAACAATAAAATACTGTCGGAACTATTTTTTAACCTGAATATTAGGGCAATGAAAACACAGTAGTGTCAAACATTCTCAAAGGATAGGCACAACTTTGACTCCTTATATTTCGCAAACCAGTCATATGCTCAACTTAAAAATTTTATGCAATTATTATCTCATCATGACTAATCATTTGGCACAAAATTTGATTCAAAAATCTAGGTCCAGTAAACGGGCGATTTTTGCGGTGGCTCTTTCTAACAGGTACTGCGATATTGAATATGTATTGCATCTAATCACATAGATGACAGAGATAGAATTTAGATTTGTGCTATAAATTCTATGCGTATAATACATAATTTTCTATCAGATACAAAAAACGGCTATAATTCTAGCTGGAGCAGCAAAATATTTTTTTGTGTGAGTATATCATCAAAAGTTTTAAATGTTAAGAAAATTTTTGTCATTTCGTCCAATAATTGGATCATATCCATGGCACTAACTGGTACATTAGAAAAAATATAAATCAAAAGAAAAAAGTTCTGAAAAAATCGATGCATCATAAGAAGAAAATGCGAAACAATTTTAGCAATCGAATGTTTATTTAACAAATAATAGACGACTCGATTAATTCTGTTCTCATTACAGTGTATGTTTACATATCTACCATTTCATTTACAACAACCTCTCTCGTGCCACGCATCTTGGATGTCATAGTTCCTTTGAATACTTCTCGTCCCATAATGATGCCATATCCAGCGTATTACTTCGTGGACGAAAATCGATATTTTCACTACATTTTTCTCCATATGATGATTTGTTCTACTATATGTTTAACTGGATTAGTCGCACACGATTGCATGTTTTTTACTTACATCGAACACATTTGCGGCCTTTTCGCCATCGTTAGGTAGGGGAAAGTTGATGAATTGTGCGCACCTAAGGGAAATTTATTGTCCTGGAATGGTTTTCCAAGTTCAAAGCGATATGAGTATGGAAATAGAAACTATAAACATTCTTCTACCATGACGTATCCTCATATTGAACAGATTTTCATTCAATAAGGTATTTAGCAAAAAGGAAAAAACGGAAAAGCGAAAAAATTTCTCGCGCGTCGGATAATTGTGCGGATGGATTGGATAATTATGCTCAAAGCAAATTCGTAAGAAATAAATGAATTATAAAATATTGACAAAGAAATCAGAAAATATATTTATTATATTGCAATATAAATATATATTAAATATATTTTAAATTATATTATATATATTAAGCAAAAATACAAAACTAGTATAATAATAATGCACATAGACTTTGGCAAAATAAAATGGCAAAGTAAAATGATGCAAAGAAAAAACGAAAAAATCAGTGCTAGTCATATATGAAAGATGTGTAATTGTGCGCATTTCAAAATGCTTGCCCATAGTTGCCCGCCGCGATCTGATTCGATATGAAATACGATTACTTCAACATTTCTTAACCAAACTTAACAAATAACAGCTCAAAAGACGCACATAATACCATACTTTAATAATGTATGCAACTTTAAATAAGCAAATTAAAAATACGGATTTACTACCTTATTTTCTGAATGCTAAAATAACAAGAAAAGATGTGATTTCACTTTTTTGTATTTCTCTGGGTAGCAACGTATTTACGTCGTATCTTTTGTAGTTATATCTTAAGAGGACGACCTCCTGCGTAAAAATTTCACCACCGTGATGTCGTCATCCATTGGAAAAGTACCAAACCAGGATGCGCACAATTACCCACTGCGCACAGTTCCCCCACTTTCCCCTAATGATTGTTTATACAAAAAGCAAGATTACATTTTTTATATGTAGAAGATAAATAATATTTTACCAAGAAGTAAATATTACGTAATAATAGTTTTAGCTTATGTATATCATTCACTTGAAAGAGACCGAAATTAATTCTCAAAAACTCTCATAACAATGTTATGTTGCGTAAATACTTGCAGATACAGATTTGAGCATGTATCACTTAAACATAGTAATACGGAAAAAAGTATGATTGATTGTCCGGATTACGTGTATTACAAAAATATTGTAATTTCGATTCACGTTCATCGAAAGGCCTTGCAGTGAGTACGTAATAATGTCGTAGCCCTTTTTTTTTCATTATTCCCGATGCTAATTAATTAGGATAATTTTTCAAATGTACAGTCCAATAAAATTCTTATTGTTTAATTAGAATAATCGTTGATAAATTATAATAAGCGGTATTTTTATTTGATTTTTACTTAAAAATATTTGAATCGTCATCAATATCATATTTTTAGATTTGCTAAACTTCTCGAAGATACTTTCTCGGTATCGTTTGGTGTGCAAATCCTGTTAGTTACGATCTGCTTGAGCATTACCTTGGTACAAGTGAGTTACAAATAGATGAGTATGAGAATTCCGTAACACACATAACGCAAAACTAAAACAGGATCTTACCTTCCTCGCGTTCAAGCTCTCGTCTCAGCTGCACGATTCAGCGGAAGCGATGAGATATTTTGTCTTCATTATGGCTCAATTGTTTCACTTGTTCTGCTTTAGCTTCCAAGGACAAAAACTGATAAATCATAGTCTTGAAACTTCCGACAACATGTAAGAGGTTAAATTGGGAGTTAATTAGTTGGATATAATTAATAATATGTATATAAAAAGAAAATACTTAGTCGGTATAAAAGATGTATTTTTTATAGAATTATTTACAAAAATTTAATCATGTATATTTTCTTATGTACAATGGTCATTTTGTATAGATATCATAGCTCATGGTATGAAATACCTGTGAAGAAACAGAGATTGCTCTTGTTCATGATGAGAAAAAGCACCGAAGCTTGTGCCTTGACTGCCGGCAAAGTATATGTATTTTCGCTAGAAAATTTTACAACGGTAAAGCAATGACAAATATTACTAAAATACATACATTTAAAAAAACATATAAAATCTTTAAACGTTCTTATTAGATCGTGCAAAGCTCGATGTCGTACTTTACATTACTGTCATCCTTTAACGTATCATAATCGATACCTGACGATTAAAGCAGCATGCAGTGAAATATATAATGAAAAAATTTTTCGCAGAAGTGTAATATTACAAATTATATTTATTAAATAAAATAATATATATATTTGTTATTATTTATTGAGCTTAAATTATTGAAATTTTATTTTGTTGTCAATACTAACCAAAAAGATTTTCGTTTCGATTTTTTGTCGTTTTACACAATCCTAATATATATATTTCCGTATAAAAAAAATTAAAAAGGAAGAACATATCGCCATTCGTGCTAATTATTTCCGCAAGAGGATGGAACGTGAATTTTGCACATTGGAGACGCTAGTCGATATTGTTCGTAGCAATATTGAATGTAGCAATTACGCAACAATCTACAAGATACATGTGTATGACAGTCACCATAGCTTTTATCTTGCAGTTAAATATACAGACGTACAGTGTCACAGGAACTCTTATTTCCTTCATAGACATCCAGATCGATATGTTCCTGGAAAAAAAATCGCCTCGTTCATCGACAGGCAATCGTTTGTGCCCACTTTTTACGAGGCATAGAAGATTGCTACGTTCCGCGTGTGTAATATATTCCCTCTGCATGCCTGATAAAATATTAATTTGTTTCTCATAACAAGACGAGAAATTTAGTCGACTGCGTGTCGCCGAAGGCGAAACACTGCTTTGAAAATGGAATCGGCGCAGAAATATTATGGCATTAGTGTTACAAAAAAATTGCTGTTACTCGCCGGCCAATGGCCTTATCAAGAAAAGAGAACGAGGTTGTTCCGAATGAGCGTGTTGACTGTAGCCGTTGTTTCGCTGATCGCTCCACAGGTTCCAGAGAAGGTTTTCGTATCCAAGCAGAACAACAAATTATAGCATCAAAATGATATCAAAATGACTCCAAAATGATCACTAAAAGTCACTTTTCAATTATTTAGTATTTACTTTAACGTCATTTTGACTTGTTGTTCTACCTGGATAACATATTTCTATCACGTATTCGTATTAGTTCTAATTTAATAATCAATAGAATGCATAAAAAGTTAATTAAAGTACGATATACAATGCTGTCTACATCTGATGAACTCGCTTTGGACGACATAAATTCAGGATAGAATTTTGTTTACGATACTTTTGAGACTTTCATGGATATTTTCTTTAAGGAGGGATCCTACATTAGAGAATCAAAAAATTCGATTTTTTTTTTCATAAATCGGTAGTACAACTCTTCGAAAATATGTCACTAAAATTTTAGAGCGAAATTCCAAATCCTTCGCTATAAATTCAGCGCTGTATATACGACGCGCAGGTATACAGACGCGCGGCAAAGTCTGCAGCATGCTCCGCCTCTCGATCCTTCGCGTCTTTTCATGTCAAAACGTGTTCGTCAAACAAGTCAGCGTCTGTATATACCTGGTCTGAATACTCGTTTGTGGGAAACGTCGTACGTGGGAAAACGGATGGATGTGCGGCTCCGAAATGCAAAGAAAACGCATACGCTCGGCGGTAAAGGTAAGCTGACAGACGTCCTTATCAACAAGTTTACTAAATACTACGGACTTGCGATAAGAAGAAACATAAATTCTGTGCCCGACATGGAAAAAGCGATATGAGCAACGTTAGAGCATTTATGCTCAACGAATGAAAACCCTCGGTGCGAAAAATGTCCAGTCGGAGCCGACAGTTGGTGCCAGTATCGAAAGTATGAGGCTGCGGGTAAACTGAAGGATTATGATCATCTCTCTCCACTCCATCCAGATATCGAGAAGCACTTGAACCCTATATACACTGATCTGTCAAATGAAGATCCGTTGACGCGTCTAGGTGGACATACTCAGAACGTGAATGAGAGTTTCAATTCGACAATTTGGAAACTGGCACCAAAGCAGGTGTAAAGATTGTCGAAATCGCCGCTTTTATTGCCGCCAGTGTTTTCAATGAGGGATTCAGCCGTGTTAAAAATTCATAAATAAATTAGATATTAATATTGAACCGGAATGCAAACATTACGTACAGATGTACGACGCGTAGCGAATTTCCAGACAAGAACACCGACGACTTAGCAGCACGAAAGAGGCCCGAGTAGCTCGTAGAATGGTTCAAATTGTTGCAAACGAGTTCCATGAGGAAGCTGAAGGTTTATTGTATGTCCCCGGAATAGATTAGCCTTCAAGCACTTGTAAGTACTCAAGAACTAAATCGAAAACTTTAAATGCGTTTTTCTAGAAATGTGTTTTTTGCATTTTCCTCAATTTTTTGTGGAAACGATTGAGAAAAAAGTATTTGTTCCGACTTTTTTTTTTCTTTTAGGGCTTATTCTTTAGCTAATAGTCAACCATCCTCGGTGAACCTAAAAAGTTAAATAAAAATTAACATTAACAATTTTTTTTGCATAAAGAAACGGCTGCTGCTCAGTGAAAATCATAACTTTTTTCTTTAAAGTCGCACAAAATTGCAATATATATATATTTTTTTTTTAATTTTTTATGTTCACTTAAGATGATATTCTATATGAATTAAAAACCTTTTTTGAGTTTTTTTTTTTTGTTTCAGGCAAGAATTACAGCCGCTAGGATTCCCACAAAATCGTTACGTCGTGGCGAACCGCCAAACTAAATGTTTATGTTTTTATTATTTAGAATACTTTTTTTTCACATAAAAATTTGTACGTACTCTACAATAATTATACTAAAACATGCAAAAAGTTTGAAATCGATAAACATTAATCTTCCTTATGAAAAAAAATTACGATGGATCACCTTGTTTTCGGCCACTTAATGTAGGATTCCCCCTTAAACAAGCTATTTGGTTTGTGGATTGCGGGTTATCTGTGTCTTGATACACGTTAAATATCGTCGTTTAGTATCCTGATACAGTATGAGGATTCTCGCTCTAAGTGAACTACAATGTTCACGTAACGTTGGCATTTAATGAGGTATCAAACCACGAAAATAATCCGCATACCGCGCAGCTCTTTGAATTCTGTTCATGACTTCACGAAATCTATATAAAATATATAAAATGCACTTTGAAATGCATTTTGAAGTAGCATACACCCAAGAAATATATCAAGTTAAGAGAAATTCAAAATGACTTTATATTTTGATATCATGAAAGTCAAAACGATGATTTTTGGTTACAAAATTTGACTGTTTATTGACATTAAGAATCAAATCCTTGGGTAAAATTATAAATAAATGACATAGAAAATCTATAATGTAAATAAATAGAATTTTATTTCGTGAAAATGGTCGCAAATTATAGAATTTAAGATGGGAATTAAAATTTATATCTTTTGAAATGAGCTTTAATAACGATATTTCTAGGTGGCCAAACTTACTCAATGCAACGGAAATACGCGATGTATTCTATTAACAATACCAGCGCTTTTGTTGATGATTATGATTCTGGTGAAACTGTACACATGCCACTTTAACAAGAGCAAAGTATGCCAATACCGAAATTTATGTTATATATTGCTCGAAAAATGATTATTTGAATTTTTATTATTATTCGCGATTGCGGTCTTTTACGATCGGACTGTCCGATGAGATTTAACATTCATTGAGAGTGTTTCTAGATAAAAATTCTCACTGATCATCTGGTTAGCGACTGGGAAAAGTTGAAAGGCGCGGAGGAGTACGAAATTATGAAAACGTATGCTGCGAACGCGAGATTGCTTTCTTTGGCATATTGCTGTGAGGATAAGTCTGGATAAATCGTTCGATTATTCTTATTTTTATTTTGACTGATAATGGATAATTATTTTGTTTTGTTACAGTATATTATTACATAGTTTCCAGTACGTTTATATCAATTAGCCTTATACCGCCCATAATGAACGTCATATTACCTCTTAATGAATCCCGACCCATATTTATGCCTTACGAGGCCTATTACTACGTAGACGGCGAAAAATATTTCTTCTATATTTTCTTCCACGCTCTCATTAGTTTAGAGATATCTGTAACAGCGATAGTCGCGCATGATTGCATGCTTCTGGTTTACATCGAACACGTTTGCAGCATCTTCGCTGTGGCTGGGTAAGACGTGGAGTGCTTTCCATTTGACACAAGTCGGCAAAAGCATTCTGTCTAATATTCAGTGAGTAACAAAGATAGAACGATATCTTTAGATAATAGAATTTGTGTCGACTTGTGTCACCAAATGGAAAGCACTCATAAAATGCTATTTCTCTACTATTCTCTTAATCGCATCTAATTGAGGGAGCGGAATTATCGTCTGTTTATAGATTTCGATTTGGGACTTTATCACAAAACGATCACGACGTTATGAATAAAAGTCCGGACGACGAATCGGAAGATCGCAGACTCTGTATACGCACACCGGCGAGCTTTACGGTGAGAGTGCAATATTTAATTAAAACATGTACAATGTGTCTGCAAAAGTTGAGAATAACTTACACAGTGTATTAATAAGATCGAGTAGATAAATGAAGTCCATATAAACTTGTATTCGAAAATGCTTTATTAAAAAATTATAAACTTTTAATTTACGAGCAGAATGCATTTATCACTATTTCTAGTACAATAAGAATATTCGAAAGAGTTCGATAGCCGTTCGACGAATAATTCAACAAATGGAAGCCTGCATTCTTTCAGAAGAGAGAGAGAGAGAGAGAAAATTTTTAAACATTTATATTTATTAAATTAATTATTTACTGATAATATTAGTTTTACAATAGTTACAATAACTGTTCAAAAATTCTTTCTTCTAAATTATAAATCTTTATGGGCACTTTTTATAAAAAAACAAGTAATTAATGACGTATATCACAACATTTGCTTACTATAGGTTTGCGGAGCTTCTTGAAAATACTTTCTGCGTTGCCTTCGCCGTACAAATAATGATAGTTACCGTTACGATGAGTATTTCCTTGCTACAAGTACGTATCTATTTGTTGCAATTCAATTGATATAATGGTACTCGCACTTTTTGAGATAGATTGTGTCACGTTATCACTCGCATTTGCATGCTCAATACCAGGAGAGATTAAAATATTGTATTTATCGCCGAGATTGCGATGCAAATAGAAGAAATCGCGGAAACGATGAGGTATACGGCATTCGTCATTAGTCAATTGGTCCACTTATTCTGCTACAGTCTACAAGGCCAGAAATTGATAGATCACAGCTTGCAAATGCGCAACAAGATGTAAGATGACAATTTAATTTTTATAAATTATTATAAATCGGAATTAGATCTATGAGAATAAGTCAATTAATAGAAATAATCCTATTTTAACAATTTTTATTTTATTGTTAAACCAAAACTCGATGATTTTTGAGACACAAAATTGCAGATATAATTCTTCCTGGTACAATATACCCACGAAATCGCAAAGATTGCTTCTGTACGTGATGCGAAGGAGCATGCAACCGAATTTTTTGAGCGCCGGCAAGATTTATGTCTTTTCTCTGAAGAGCTTCACCACGGTAAAAATTATTTTTGCATGTTAAATTTTATTACGATATTTTTTTCAAGTTTTTGAAGAATGCTTTTCTCTTAAAGGTTTTACAGTCTTCTGTGTCGTATTTTACCGTACTTGCGTCTTTCCAGTAATTAATGATCAATATGTTTCGGACGGTATCATTGTGCATTGTGCAATCACAAATACAATATTATAGTAGTAAATATTGTGCAGTCAAAATAAATTTTTCATCGTGTAAGCGAGTTACTTACACTATTAAATATCGTTGTTAAATATAATTTAAAATCATCCATGTATGAAACCACGTGTAATACGTTGAGTTTGATACGTGCCCAACCCTGGTCGTAAGCACTTTCCAGAAGCTCCTACCCCTTCTGACCACACGGCCGCCTTCCCGCGGCACCGCACACGCAAAAAAATTTTTGCTGCTCCAGATAGAATTATAGCTGTTTTTTGTATCTGATAGAAAATTATGTATCTTACGCATAGAATTTATAACACAAATCTAAATTCTATCTCTGTCACTTACCAATATGATTAGATACAATACATATCCAATATCGCAATACTTGCTAGAAATTTATCTATTTTAGCTATTTTTTGTAGTTAGATAATTTTCGCTGTAACTGCAAGATCACTTTTTTGAGCGCAACTCGGTTGAAATAGGGTACCGCGCGTCCTGACAAAGGACGCCCGCGTCGGCGTGCACTCCCTACCGAAAACCGAATTTATAGTCTCTTTGTGTTAGTAACGTCGCCCAAACTTCGAAACGACGGCACTCGCCGTCGCCTTCCCCCTAGGTTTCCGCTCGGCCAAGAATCGCGACCACCCCACTCCTTACGACGTCGAACGAGACGAGAAAAGCCCCGACGCCCCGCGTCCGCGGTCCACGAAGGCGCCGCTTCACATAAAAATCGGGACGTGACAAGGTGATTAAACAAAGGCATTTTTACCGTGAATTTTTTGTATAATGAAACATTTTTTATATATCTTTGATATTTTTGGAGATATACCTAAAAAGTCGTACGCATGAAGAATAATAATTAATTTAATTATAAAAATATCTATTATGAAGAATGACATTCAGTGGCATAGTAAAATAATTAAATAAATAACATCTATACATACATCTATCATATACCAAGTTTTGCGTTTTGCATGTTCTCATTTTCGCGTGATGTTAGTAGTAAATTGAATTAACAAGTCACTATATAACATTTCTCCATATATAATCGAGAAAATAAAACTACACTAGCCAAAGTTTATTGCAATAATATCGTCGATTTCTATCTGTCGCAAATAGTAGCTCGAGGACTTGAATTATTCAGTATAGGAGTTAAAAAAATACTTCGTACTCTCCAGCGTATTCAGAATCTATACATATAATAGATATATGTATAGATTCTCGTAATTCAGACGGTATAGAATTTCTCAAAGTTAGCTGTCAAACGCTATCCACTCACGTCTATCATTACTTAAGTTGTTATACCTCTGCGAGATGTATACTTATCGTAAATGCCTGTCGCCAGCATTATGCAATTGTGCGATCATGGAAAGAACATGAATGTATAGAACAGTATCTAAAATGTTGATTTATTTATAACTGACATTTATCATGAAAAAAAGCTCTTTCGAGGGAAGTCTCGAAATTCGCGACACTGACTACTTCTTTGTGAAGTATGGAACATAGTAGAGATTACTATTACGATATCAGTAAGTGGTATCTGATGTTAGTCGGCCAGTGGCCTTATCAGAAGTTGAAAGAGAGTTTGTGTTTCTTGATTTTTATACTCTTCCTTGATGCTTCTGCACTTGTACCACAGGTAACGTAAACATAATCGAGATTTTTATTTTAGGAAAGAAAGAAATTAATGTAACAGAAGTTTATTATTTCAATTCGAATAATCTATTTATTAATTAAAATTACAAATGAATATAATCGCATTTTTCAGATAGCAAAATTTTTCGTATGCGATAACGCACAGTGTATTTATGAAACTTTACCACCACATATGCTGACAGTGATGATTTTGGTGAAAATTTTCACGTATCAATTTAACAGCCAAAAAGTATGTTCAATTAATATGAATGGTATCGACATTTCTAGTTCTAAGTTACAGACACGAATAGTTCCTTTTCAAAAGAGATCTTCTTGACGAAATTTTATATATCTGTTTGTTGAGAATATTACATCTGAGGTATCGAATATATCGCTGATGTTTGTAGATTAAAGATCTCACAGATCGCTTATTCGTAGACTGGGATATGCTCGAAACTGTGGAAGAACACAACATTATGAGAAAGTATGCTCAAAACGGCAGATGGTACGCGATGATATATGGCTGTATGTAATTACTTGGTTTTAATTAAGAAATGAAAGGAAAATTCATTTCCTTATACAATTAAAAAATAAAGATAATATATTTTATAATATCATTTTTAGACCGCGTATGTGGTCTAAAGATAATATATTATATTTTCTTTGACACTTGGATTAGTGTTTAAATTAATTAAAAACATTAAGTTAATTAAAATATTCCAAAATAATTACAAAGAAGATATCAAAATACTTTATCAACTTTTATATCAAAGTATAAAAGATGTACATTGTACAGAAAAGAACTTTTATTTTGTTTCTAGAAAAAAATTCTTGAAACACACAGTTAGCGCGAGCTGAAAATATTTGAATGTACAGTTTTATTTTGTTACAATAAAAAATATTGAGACATTCTGCCAAACATTTTACTTGATAGAAGAAACATATATTGAATAGATGTTAAAGGGGAAAAGTTCTGACGAAATATACATATTTATAAAAATAAAATATTTTCAACATTATAATTCTTAATTAAAAAATAATTCTTTAAAATAAATACTCATTTTGATAAATTTTGTCTTCGTTGCAGCGTACGTTTACGTGTCTACCATTTCATTTACAACAACCTCTCTCGTGCCACGCATTTTGGATATTATATTTCCATTGAATACTTCCCGCCCTATAATGTTAGCATATCCGGCATACTATTTCGTTGACGAAAATCAGTATTTCTACTATATTTTTCTCCATATGTTATTTACTAGCAGCATGTGTATGACTGGATTAATCGCGCATGATAGCATGTTTTTTACTTACGTCGAGCACATCTGCGGCCTTTTCGCCGTCGTTAGGTAATGATTATTTATACCGAAAGGAAGATCACTTTTCTAGTTAGGAGATAAATAAAATTCTCTGTACCGAGGAATAAATATAACGTAATAATAGTTTTAGCTTTTGTACGTTACTTGGAAGGAAGCAGAAGTTAATTCTCAAAAGTTCTCTAATAATGTTGTTTTGCGCGAATACTTGCAGATTTAGATTTGAGCATGTGTCACATAAACGTAGTAATACGGAAAAAAGTCTAATCGATTGTCTGGATAATGAGTATCATAGAAATGTTATTGTTTCGATTCGCGTTCATCGAAAAGCTTTACAGTAAGTGTGTAATAATATAGCACATTTTTCTTTTAATCTCAATGCTATTTAACTAGAATGATCTATGATAAACAATGCGTTTGTTTGATTTTTATTTAGACAATTTTAGGATGCGTTCCGAGCATTTTCAATGCATTTCCTTATTTTCTAATAAATGATAAAGATAGAAAGATGTATTGCGCTTTCGGAACACAGCATTTTAGTTGTCATTACTAATGACTCGTTATTACCTCATTAGTATCATATTCTTACTCTAGATTTGTAAAACTTCTCGAAGATACCTTTTCGATATCGTTTGCTGTGCAACTCCTGATCGTTACAGTTGGCTTGAGCATTACCTTAGTACAAGTGAGTTACGTATATAGAATAGGCAAGTAGAATTCTGTAATATAATAAAAAATTAAAACAGGATTTTATATTTCTTGCAATTCAAGCTGTCGATGCAGTTGCACGACTTAGCGGAAGCAATGAGATACTTCGTCTTTATTATTGCTCAATTGTTTCACTTGTTCTGCTTAAGCTTCGAAGGACAAAAGCTGATAAGTCATAGTCTCGAAATTTGCGATAAGATGTAAGAGGCAATAACCCGAATATGCAATTCCTTTGAAAATCCGCAAAAAGTTGTATTAAATTAAAATCTTCACTTTTTTTTAGAAATAAATTCATAATAAGCTATTTATAACGTACTTATTCTGTTTAATATTTGTTTCATTCTATCTTTTTTATTTTTTTAGAAAATTGTGATTAAATCTATATTTATATACTCCTCTTCTAAAATACTAAATAAAAAAACAATCAGTAATATACATAATATGTTGTTAATAATAATCATTTTATAATTAGAATATAAAAACACTTTATGTGTGATTATTTACATAAAAAAAATTAGGTGACTATTTCCAGGTTAAATAAAAAATGAATTAACTGTTTGATTGATATTAAACATAAAGAAATATTTATAAAAATTTGATCTTTCCCTGCAATCAATAGATTATATCCTTATTTATTATTTTGTATGTATAATAGTAGTAATGGTAGTATAATTTTATAGATTTCGATGTTCGTGGTTTACAATACCGGTGAAGGAACAAAGATTGCTCTTGTTCGTGATGAGAAAAAGTATCGATGCTAGTGTCTTAACCGCTGGAAAGATATACATATTTTCTCTAGAAAATTTTACAGCGGTAAAACAATGAATATAGCATGTATCATAAAAATATGCAAATCAAAAAGATATATAAAATTTTATTTTCGTCTAGGTCGTGCAAAGTTCGATGTCGTACTTTACATTACTATCGTCCTTTGACGTGTCATGATCGATATCCGACGATTATGATGGCATGTAGTAAAATATCCCTAAAGTATTCCACAGAAATATAATATTATAATTTGTGCAATGAATAAAAAATAATGTTTATATTTGCTATTTTTTAATAAAATAAAAATAATATAACTTTATTTCTCTATCGATAATTTCTGAATAACCAGAAAGTTTTTCCTATCGATCTTCCTCGAAGGCTTAAAATTAAACGATATGCAGAAGTATGCAAAAGCTATCCAATAAAAAGTACTTATTTTGTAGCATCATTTTATTTTGATCGAGGTAATTTGTAAAATAAGCCGTTTTTATTAATGGAGCTACATTATTGTCAAAGGAACATATATTACCTATGATTGTAAAATCCATTAGTCGGATGGAACATTGTGCGATATGCAGAAAATTGTGTTATTTATATCTATGTTACTTTCCAAAAACAGTTTTTTATTTATATCTCGAAGAATGACAAATTCAAAATTAGATCGAAAGGTACGAAATTAGTTGTCTTTGCATTATCGAAGATACTACACTGTTTCTGTAATTATTAAGTGTTATGGAGACCGACAACAATTATTATGATATCGTCTATAGCATCATCGCTTACCGATACGTGACTGTATCAGAAACTGAAAATAAAGACATTCTACATTGCCCTAGCAAGTATAGTCTCGCAGGTAAATACATGTACTGTCCGAAAGGAAACTGTTCGATGTAATTCAATGTGATTCCAAATGTCTATCGTATGTTCCAGCGCGTACTCAATACACTCGTAATTCCAACCATATTTCTGAAAGGGTCAGCTGTTCACTCACACCTACTATTAATACCTATTGTATTTACATGAAACATATACTTAGCGAAAGTGCCTGTCAGTTAAGAAAAGCCACATGATCGTTTTAAAATCGTGCACCTCGACAATGGGAAGAGAACGTGCGTGTTGTGGAGAGGAGGATTTGCAATATTAATTTACTTATAACCGGCTTTTATTACGGAAAAAAATATTTTCCGAGAGAAGTTTCGAAATTCAGACGGCATTACAGTGCCGAGGAGACCGTTTTATGTAAGTATGGAAACTAGAAGAAGTTATTATTACGATATCAATAAAAAGTACCTTATGTTAGTCGGTCAGTGGCCTTATCAGAAGCCAAAAAAAAAGCTAATTTGCTTTACATTTATAATGATACTCGCAGCTACTTCACTCGTTCCACAGGTAACATTAATTGTTGTCAAGAATTTTTTTTGGAGAGGAAAGAAACAGAAGAAATTTGTTACAATTCTGCGCTTGTCCAAATCACTCACAAATCTTTAGATTGATGACGTCGGAAGCGAACACATACTTAATTAAAATTCTTGTAAAGTATATTAAAATAGAAATATTTTTCAAGAAAACGATATTTTCATTTGATAGAATACACTTGTAAAATAAACAGAACATTACTATCTTGGAATAGAATCAAATCATGTTTATTTCAATTCGACAGTTGTCATATAGCTTGTTTCATTTTCAGGGTCATAATTTAATTTTAAATATTACTTATTGATTACCGGAATATTAGGAGAGTTTTTGGTATATTTTGCAAACCTATTCTATTGGCAAATGTTGTTTTATTAAAAAATATTCACATTTTAATAAAATTTGCAAGAATTTTCTTTATGTTTTTCTCGCTTCTGAAGTCACAATTAACAAGATAATTGCAATGATTGATAACAAGATGCATAATTGAAGTACTTTAATAATTCTAAAATAACTTTATTCTTCTTTCTTCCGTGAATCTGTTTTCAGGGGGCAAGATTTGGCGTATGCGAAACCGCGCAGTGTATCTACGAAACTTTACCTGTTTATATGTTAGGAATGATGATTTTATTGAAAATTTTCACGTATCATTTTAACAGCAAAAAAGTACGTTTTATTAAATTCTACTCGTGAAGCCACGAAAAAATAGCTGCGTTGCAAAATCTTAGACTTTGTTGACGATGTTGTTACAACTATTGAGAATATTACATTCTATAATAAATATCAAACACATATCGCTGATGTTTCTAGATTAAAGATCTCACAGATCGCTTATTCTTAGACTGGGATATGCTCGAAACTAAGGAAGAACACGACATTATGAGAAAGTATGCCGAGAAAGGCAGATGGTACGCGCTGATATACGGATGTAAGTAATAGCTTGATTTTAGTTGAGAATCAACGAAATTTACTTTTTTGTGTAATTAAAAAATTAAAATAAAATAATATGTGTTGTTTATGTTCGAATGTGTTTAAATTAAATAAAAATGGAAATAGAAATATTTTTTTACCTAGTTACAAAAAACATATCAATAAAATTTGACTGACTTATTTCAATGTATAAGAAACGTTGCACAAAGAAAAAACTTTTTTTCTAGAGAAAATCTCCAATCAAACTAAGAAAAATATATTGAAAAAAACAATTTTATTTTGTTAAAATAATTAAGACATTCTGTCAAATATTTGACAAAAAGGAACATTTATATTGTATATAGACTAAATAGGGATTTTAAAAGAGAAAAATTCTGAAGAAGAAATATAGACACACTTATAAAAATAAAATATAAAATATTTTAGTGGCATAATCTTTAATGAAAAAATAATTTTAATAGAAGTTCGTTTTTACAATTTTTGTCTTTGTTGCAGCGTTGGTTTACGTGTCTACCATTATATTTACAACAACTTCTCTCGTACCACGCGTCTTGGATAAAGTATTTCCATTGAATACTTCCCGTCCTATAATGCTACCGTATCCGGCGTACTATTTCGTTGACGAAAATCAGTATTTCTACTATATTTTTCTCCATATGTTATTTACCAGCAGCATGTGTATGACTGGATTAATCGCACACGATAGCATGTTTTTTGTTTACGTCGAACACATCTGCGGTCTTTTCGCCGTTGTTGGGTAATGATTATTTTTTCTGAAAGCGAGATCAAATTTCTCTTATAGTTAGAAAACAAATAAAATTCTCTGTATCTAAAAGTAAATATAATATAATAATAGTTTCTAACTCTCTTGTGTATTCGTTTGCAAGAGACTGCAGAAATTAATTTGCAAAAACTCTTATAACAATGTTTTGCGTAAAAACTTACAGATTTAGATTTGATCACGTGTCACATAAGCGTAGTGCTATGAAAAAAAGTATGATTAATTATCGGGATGCTATGTATCACAAAAACGTCGTGATATCGATTTCCGCTCATCGAAAGGCTTTGCAGTGAGTGTGTAATGATCATAGCATATATTTCTCTCATTGGCTGCATTCAGCAGAGAAAGCAGCTTTACAAATGCCTCGGTAAAAACATTGATAGAGAACGATAGAAAAATCCTATCGTTTTGAATATGAAATTTGGTTCGTAAATTCACTAATTTGAATCAAATCTTGTACTATCTAGGAATCTTGTACAAATATTGTAGAATAGGATTCATATCCGATCAATCGTGATGCTCGCGAGGTCAACGATAGAAAATGATATAAACTTATATAAAACAAATTGATAGAAATCCTATCGTTCTCAATCGTTCTCTATCAACTTTTTTTATCAGGATGTTGCAAAATTCGTTAATGTGATTGATCCTGCCTTTAGATCCTTACTGAATCTAAATGTATAAACCAATCATATTAAAGAATGTTACAACATTAATTTGAGGAGCAGATTTTCAAAATACATTTTGTTCAAAAGAACGAGAAAGAAATACACAAAGAAACCAGTCGTCATTATTATATCCTTATCACAGATTCACTCAATTTCTTGAGAGTACCTTTACAATATCGTTCGCTGTGCAACTTCTGATCGTTACAATTGGCTTGAGTATTACTTTAGTACAAGTGAGTGACTTACGAATAGCTACCAAATACGAGAATCTTATAATGTTAATAAGAGATTAAAACAAGACTTTATCATTCTCGCCTTAAAGCTCTCGATACAGCTGCACGATTTAGCGGAAGCGATGAGGTACTTTCTTTTATTTTTGGTCAATTGTTTCACTTGTTCTGCTTCAGCTTCCAAGGACAAAAAGTGATAGATCATAGTCTCGAAACTTGCGACAAGATGTAAGAGACGGTATTAAGTTGAAAATAAATTGATCGACATGAAAAAGACGAGTATATATTTTCTATAAAAACTTTTACAAGAATTTAATCATTTGTTTGCAATCAATAAACTTCTACTGTACTCATTTTATATGTATAATGATAATTTTATAGATATCATGGCTCGTGGTTACTATACCCGTGAAGGAACAAAGACTGCTCATGTTCGTGATGAGAAAAAGTATCGAGGCTAGTGTCTTGTCCGCCGGCAAGCTGTACGTGTTTTCTCTAGAAAATTTCACGACGGTAAAACAATTAACACGACAAGCGCTATAAAAAATATAAAAATGCAAATCAAAAAGAACCTTGTTTTCATTTAGGTCGTGCAAAGCTCGATGTCGTACTTTACGTTACTGTCGTCCTTTGACGTGTCATGATCGATATCCGGCGATAATGGTAGCATGTAGTAAAACATCCCTGTTCCATAGAAGTATACAATTACAAATAATACATCGAGTAAAATAATGTTTATATTTGTTATTATGTAACGAAGCAAAAGTAATAAAATTTTATTTTGCTATTATATTGCTAAGCGAATAAAAAGCTTTCCCTCCCGATCTCTTCCGGAGGCCTCGAACACTCACGCCACTTACAAGAGTCTCTTTCTCTGTCAAAAGAGAGTACTCATTTCATCGCACTATTTCATTCTCATCGATACGTACACTCCGGAGGGAACTTGCAAAACGAGCCGTTCATTATTGAGGGTCTACATTATTAATGTCAAAGAATCAAATACCACCTGTTCCTATAAATTCTATGTCCAGTCGTCGATTGACATAGCATGCAATAAAGTTATTTCGTGAGAATAGACTATGTACAGCAGTTTTAGCGCAAGAGGATATCATTTTAATTGACGTCTGATATCAGAGGGTGAGTGATCAGTCGTACGAAAGTTCAAAATTAGTCTCCTTCGCGACGTCGAAAACGCGGTATCGTTTTTTCTATGAATTATGGAGACCTGGAAGCGTTACTATAATATCGTCTACAAAATATCATCGCTCACCGGTACATGGCCGTATTTGAAACTGAAAGCAAGGATATTTCGCGTTGCTGTAATGACTATAACTATACTGACGGTACTCGTTCCGCAGGTAAATTGATGTAACGTTCAAAAGAAGGATCTATCGTAAGAATGATAAACGACAATAATTTCAGTTTAGTTATCAATTTATGTGCAAGAAAAATTTGCAATGTATTTTTGAGGGGATGACATCGTATGTACTGACATGTTCTTCTTTGCTAAAGGTGTACACGTTTCAATTAAATATTCGGACGGTATATTCTAATTAAGCAATTATAAATATTTCAATTTGTTCGATTTTGAAAGTACATGGTGTCCCATGGGAATGTGTTGAAACTAATCAGCTGTCATTTTCGAAGATATTTAGTTATTGAAAAAACAAAAATTGAGCTGAAAAAAGGAAAGTTTACAATTTTTAATGAGTATAAATTAAATTTACCAAAATTTTTGTGTAGCAATTAATTTTATTGATGAAAAATTATGCTAAAATCAAGTAAGCTCTAAAATTATATATAAAATCGCAGATAAGATCGAAAAACAGCTTCAAATTTAGTAGCAGCTATTTAGAAAGTTATTAGCAATATTTTAAAATGATATGTTAGAAAAAGTTTTACGAACTTTCGTAAAAAAATTGCGTTTTGTACAAATTCAGATGATGATACCTCTGAAAAAATTATTCTTTGGGATTATGAGTATATTCTTCATTAATAAAATTAAATGAAACATTTTGTTAAATTTTATTTTTACTCATTAAAAATTCTAGACTTTCCTCTTTTCAGCGCAATTGTTGTTTTTTGGATAACTGAATACCTTCGAAAACGACAGCTGATTAGTTTCAACACATTCCCATGGGACACCCTGTAGAAAATTAAGAGAAAATTTGAATAATTTAAAAAATTTTTATATACAATTATTACACTTCTATAAATGTTATTTTATTTAAAATTGATAATATCCACTTTGTCAGATCAAAAGCCTCACTCAACATTTATTCACCGACTGGGAGGGATTGAAAACTCCCGAAGAATACGAGATTATGAAATTATACGCACAGAACAGTAGACGATTTTGTGTGGTGTATACGGGTGAGAAGCGATGAGAGGGATGCTCTATACTGTTTTATTTCCAAAACATATACATTTCCTTTTTCACAAATTGCTTTATATTAGTGATATCTTTTTCACTATCTAAATACTCCGAATCTCCAATGCACGTTCAAAATCATGATTTATACTTTGTCCATTGCAGTATATTGCATGTTAACGGTAACTACGTTTATGTCATTGTCTCTTGTGCCATTCGTACTTGACGCCGTATGGCCTCTTAATGAATCCCGTCCCATAATACCCCCGTATCCAGGATACTATTTCGTGGAACTTCGGGAATATTTCTATAAAATCTTGTGGCATTCCATCATTGCTTGGGAAATCATTGTGGCCGGATTAGTCGCTCACGATTGTATGTTTGTGACTTTTATCGAGCATGTTTGTAGCATGTTTGCTTTGGTCGGGTAAGGAAACTTGTAAGCTTGATGTGCAGAAAAAATATATTTCTTATCAAGCTTCCTACGAAAAGTAATAAAATTACTTACAGTGATTTCATATATAAATGTATCAAATTATTTAATTTTATATTTTATATAAAATAATAAAATTAAAGTTCTTTGAACAAAAAGGAATCGAAAAATTTGCCTTCAGATAAAGGAAAGAATAAAATCTGCGGCAATTTTTGCTGAAAGTTCACTTTCGACTTTATTTGAAAAATATGATTCGATTCTTTTGCACCAATCCAGTATCAAAATACTTTTACAATTTATCCGGAATGTCAAAACTAAAAGAGAAAAAGAGAGGGAGAGAAAGAAAGGAGTTGTACAAACTGTTTACAGATTCTATTTCGAAAATCTATTTAATAAAGGTGACAAAACAATGAAGATTGCAAACAATTGTAGTGACACTTATCACGAAAGAATAGCATTCTTTGTAAACAAACATCAAGATGCTTTAAAGTAAGTGTAACATCGTATATGAAAAAAAAAATACAAAATATTCTCCATTTAAAGATGAAACTATTTTTGCGCAGATTCCTTTTACGTTTATTTTATTTCCCGTTTACCATAGGTTTGTGGAACTTATCGAAAATATCTTCACTATACCTTTCGCCGCACAAATGATCGTGGTAACCATAGGATTAAGTATTACTTTGCTGCAAGTATGTATTTATTTATGATAAAACTGTTTTTCATATTTTCTAAAACTTTCGGATGAAATTCACTCTGAAGAGTTAAATCTTATCTTCCAAGATTAAAAATTGAACTACACTTTACTAAAGACTGCTATAATTTTCATTCTATAGAATGAAATTTCACTTCAAAGAATTTAGAAGATATACAAGAATTTAGAAAATATACATTATTTTAAATTGTATTTTTTTTATATTAAAGTTGACACAGCAGAACGGCGATACTTTAACATCAATAAGATACGTGTTGTACGTTGTCGGTCAACTGTTCCATTTATTTTGTCTCTGTTTTGAAGGACAGAAGCTAATAGATCATAGTATACAGACGTGCGATAAAATGTAAGTGATTTGAGATACTTAAAAGCAAAAAGAAAATAGAATTTTGTATGAACTTTCGCATTCAATTTCTTTGAAATGTGGCAGATACAGCAGTACCTGGTACGAAGTATCCATGAGATCGCAAAAGCTAATCGTGATGGTGATGATGAAAAGTATACGACCGAGTTTCTTAAGCGCCGGCAAGATGTACATTTTCTCCTTGAAGAGCTTTACCACGGTAATAAGCGCAGAATTATCGTGTGCTTGTTATACATAGAGTTTCTTTAACGAGATATAATGCTCTTGTTTTGAAGGTTCTACAAACTTCGATGTCATACCTTACGGTGCTTGCATCCATTTAGTAATTCCGTGTACATCCCGCGATATTACGTGGTGGCACTTGTCGAGAAAATAATACCATCTGTCTTTAATTCTTCTATTATAATTATACACTTTTAATTATATTGTTTATTATTTCTTTATTAAATATATACTTAAAATTAGCTCCTGTTAAGTGTATCTCGAATATGTATAAAGAAAGACCACATATACAGCCAAAAATATTAGACATACATATTTTTTTCACTTATTTGGATTTCTTTTACTCTGCATTATTATCTATTAATTACTGTCATTATAGGAATTTAAAAAAAAAATAATTTACGACAGATACCATAAATTGATTTTTTAGCCAAACCTATAAATACTGATTAATAAAATGTCTAATATTTTTGATCAAGGTTGTATTTCTCATATAGTTAGAAAACAAATAAAATGCTCTATATGTAAAAGTAAATATAATATGATAATAGTTTCTAACTCTCTTGTGTATTCGCTTGCAAGGGACAGAAATTAATTTGCAAAAACTCTCATAACAATGTTTTGCGTAAAATCTGTAAAAACTTATAGATTTATATTTGATCACGTGTCACATAAGCGTAGAGCTATGAAAAAAAGTATGATTAATTATCGGGATGCTATGTATCACAAAAACGTCGTGATATCGATTTCCGCTCATCGAAAGGCTTTGCAGTGAGTGTGTAATAATCATAGCGTATATTTCTCTCATTGGCTGCATTCAGTAGAGAAAGCAGCTTTGCCCCGATAAAAACGTTGATAGAAAACGATAGAAAAATCCTATCGTTTTGAACATGAAATTTGGTTCGCAAATTCACTAATTTTAATCAGATCTTATAGGAATCTTGTACAAATCTTGTAAAATAGAATAGGATTCATATCCGATCAATCATGATGCTCGCGAAGTCAACGATATATATGCAATATATATAGAGGAAAGTCGCCGATACCAACATGCCACTTTGTTTTTAGACAATATTTCTTAAACAAAAGATAAAAAAACTTTAGAGATAACAAAACTTTAAAAACGTAAGTACAAACTGAAAAGTGTCTTCTATCAGATAGTATATGCAGTTTTTATAATACTGTTTGCAATTTTGCAATAATTAATTTTTTCGTAAGGTAAGTAAAAATGAGCTCTGACAAAATAGGATCCAAAACTGACACCGTAGGCAATAATGCTACGTATTTATATTCTTTTTATTTTACAAGCATTATCTGTATAAAGTACCTATAAGCGAATGTATACAGGGTGTCTGGTAGCGACCGCAAAATATTTCGTGCGTGTGTAGAACAGACTACACTGAGTCGAAAAGTCCTGTACCATTTTGCGGTGTCAACAATAGTTAAGGAGATATTAACGTTTAAAGATAATCGAAAAAGAGCGTCCGACCGGCCTATTGCTGCCGAATGTACAACCCACCGATCGCGGGGAGTGGGGCAAGCATCCCGCTGACCGCCGCGAGCCACTAAGCTCGAACGGCACGATGCGCCTGATAGGCCATCCCCACTCCCAGCGGCCCGCGCGCCGTGCGATCGTGGCCGGTGGGTTGTACATTCGGCAGTAGTAGGCCGACCGGACGCTTTTATTCGGTTATCTTTAAATCGTTAATATCTCCTTAACTATTGCTGACACCGCAAAATGGTACAGGACTTTTCGACTCAGTGTAGTCTGTTCTACCCACGCACGAAATATTTTGCGGTCGCTACCAGACACCCTGTATATATATTATATCTTCAGATACTATCTTTAAAAGAAAAACAAACTCTGTTTCATTACTTGACATTAATTTGTCACATGGAAACGTGAAGTGTGAAATTTATCCGTCAAGTTACGACGTATGAAGAAAACGAATCTCTGCAAGGTAAGTGACAGAGAGAGAG